CGGTGCGTACAGCTCAAGACCTCATCAGAGTCATCTTGTCGGCGACAGATAGACAGTGCTGGTGGCTGGCACGATGATATACTGTGAGATCACGAGGGTTTCGCCAAAGCCCTCGGCATAGGGTGGAGCACCCAAATCCTTGCCACCACCATTCTTGGCGACCATGAGGGCTTCGCCAGAACCCTCCTCAAATGGCTACGAGGAGGAAAGGGGAGTGCGATGAAGTTTGATGGCTAGGGTTTCGTCGCTTCCCATCTCGTCCCAAGCGGAGAGACACTGGGGCAGAGGCAATAGTTTTATTTCGGTCCGCGCATACAACTCGAGACCTCATTAGATCATCTCGTTGGCGATAGATAGACAACGTTTGATGGTTGGCATGATGATATCCTATGAGATCACGGCTTTGACAAAGCCCTCAGCATAGGGCGGATCACCCAAATCCTTGCCGCCACCATTCTTGGCGACCACGAGGGCTTCGCCAGAGCCCTTCTCAAGTGGCGACGAGGAGGAAAGAGGAGTGAGAGGACGGCCGACGGTTAGAGCATTTCCAGCCGTTGGCCCCCTAGGAGGCGCTAAAAATCGCCCCTGGGGGCGCACCGGCGATAAACGACGCGCTGGGGCGTGATGTCCCTCAGTCACGGCGCCCATGTTTTTTTGAAAATATAAATTACATCACAAACACGGCGTAAATTCAACCAAACTTCGGCGAGTTCGTTCATATTTAAATATTTTACAAAAAGAAAAAAAGCTACTAGGTTGCTCCTCGCCGTCTCCCTCGCCGCTCCTCGCCGACCGCCACCCTTGTAGATCTACATGCCGAGGAGGCGATAGAACCACGTGTTGTCACCGCCGCCGCCGCCGTCGTCGTCGCCTCCGCCGCGGCCGTCGTCGTCGCCTCCGCCGCGGCCGTCGTCGTCGCCTCCGCCGCGGCCGTCGTCCCTGCTGCAACCCTTCCCCGGTTGGCGCGGCGGGTTGGACGGTCCAGGGGCGTCGTCGTCGTCGTCGCGGTCGAGGACCACGACGCCGTGCTCGTCCTCGCGCCCACGTTTGCAGGCGGCTATCTCCTCCAGGGCCCGGCGCTGCCGGACCATCTCGTCGCAGAGGTAGTCGTCCCGCGCCCACTGCATGGCGTCCTCGTCGGAGATGCCGCACTGGGCTATCTCCTCGTACTCCACGGGGAGGCCGGGCTCCGGTTTCGGCCTGACAAGGACGAGGCAGCCAGAGGCGGGGGCGGAGTTGTCGATGTGGACGCCGGAGCCGCGGGTGCGCGCGCTGACAGGCGTGTCCTGGGCTCCGGCTTGATGGGGCGGAGGCAGGGAGAGCCGGTCGACCAACCTGACGAGGAGGAGGATGCCCTGGGGTCCATGTGCCTCGGTGTCCACGAGCTCCGACGGCGGCGAGAGAAGGACGGGGGGAGGGGTACTCCAGCCTCGGCGTGTTGCCGCCCTCGATGTACTCGAGGATGGCCTCCAGCGTGCGGCCGGGCACGCCCCACCATTGGCGCCGCCCCTCGAAGTTGAGCCTGCCGGAGGGAACGACGCCGTTGGTGGCCTCGAACTATTCAGCATGGCGACGGCGGAAGTATAGCTCCCAGAGCGGGCTGCCGGGGACGTAGCGTGGCCCCTCCCTCGCCGCACGCGGCAGGGAGGAGCGGATACGCCCGATCTTCGCGCGCCGCGCCTTCCCGGTGGGCGGTGGCGGCGACCCCGCCGGCGCTGATTCTCCAGGCCCCGGGCACCCGCATGTCCGGCGGGACCGGGTACTCAGCCTCGAAGAGGAGCCGAGCTTCGTGCTCGTGAAGGTGGCGGCGGCCGAAGCCGTTCGCCGCCGCGCCGTCGCCTGAGAAGCGTTCGGCCATTCTTTGAGCTGGAGACGGAGAGAGGAGAGGAAGGAGGGGGAGAAAGGCGGTGTCGGCGGCGGA